TCTTTAAAGTGGCTTAAAAAGAAATGAATTGTTAATTCTCAACTACTTACTAATCTACAGTGCAACTCTTCTGTTATTGCCCGCCTATATTCTCCACACACCAGCTAAAGTGATAAAACTGAGAACATTGTCATTTTTCTGCCAATTCTCCAGTGGCTTCCTGTCATGCTCCAAACATGCCAAATTGGTTCCTCCCTCAAGATTTTTATACTTGCTCTTTCCTTTGCCTAGAGTAGTCTTTCCCAGGGTTTTGGCAATTTGTTTCCTCAGTCATTCAGGTTACTGCCTAAGTATTATTCTTGATTATTCTTTTTAATATACTGCCCCAGTCCTCCACTTTCTGAATCCCTACTGCTTTATTTCTCTCCACAGTGCTTCTTGCTCCCTGAAATGTGTGTTTATTTTCTCTTTGTCTCCTTTACTAGAATAAGCTTGATGAGGGTAGGAACTTTGAATTATCTTTGCTTAGAACAGTTCCTTTAACACACCTGTTCAAAAACATTTTTTTATTGGATGGGAACACTGAAATGGGTTAATAGGAATATAAATTGATTTGAGATTAAACAACCTGCTTTGGATAATTTAGTTTAGGAATTTGGCATCCAAACATGAATCCAACCCTAATTCTTATTTATAGGGAGTGGGTGAGGAAATGAACCTTTGGTGATCCATTCAAATCCTTAATGCTCCCAGTGCTTAGGACAGTGCCTGGTACAGGCTAAGAATTGTATAAAAATTGAATTTTTACCTTGTATGAAAAAAAAGACCAAGTAGATTATTAGAAACAGAATGAATAGAATTATTGGATCACCTGTTACTTGTCACATTCTTTCTTGACCTGAAAGAAAGGTTTTAATTATCTCATTAAATTCACACAATCACTTTGTGAGATATTTTGTTTCCTTACAGTGATCAAGGATATTTATGCTACAGATGAATTGCTAGTCCTTCAGGTGTTAACAGAAAGCTTTAGTTAAATATGGTACTCCTCTGCAGGACTTAGGCTAGTTACTGATTTTATTTTTCAGTAACAACCCATCTATTCATCCAAGTATATCAATGTCTGTAGAAGGGTAATGCTTATATTCAGGGATTTTAAGATCAAAATCACCTGCCAGTTATAATAAGAAAGCCCTTTAAACATTAGTTTCTTTATTCTTAAAGTAGACATTTTAATATGTTGCTCATACAGTTTTTGTAGGGTTAGGTAAGGTAACATACTTTACAGTGTGTGTAGCACATTATGTGTATTTAATAAATGATAAATAATTAAGAGTTTTACATTTCTTATATAGTAGTTTGAACACTCCTATGAGGTCATTATTCCATTTTATGTTTCCCTGTTTTATACATAATGAAATTTAGGGTTTGAGATATCAAATATCTAAGATTTTGCACCTAACAAGTGATTTGTTCAAAAGTTGAAATCAGGTCAGACATTCTTAAGTCCATTCTCCTAGATATTACACTGTTACCTTTCTATTAAGTCCTCTCTGGGTGGACAACTGGCATTTATCTCCATTTTTTATAACTTCCCTACTGGAGTTTTATCAAAAAGGAAAGAGAAATTACAAAGCCTTAATGGCTAAAAAATTATATTGAAGTATATCTAAAATGCCCAAATCTTAAGTAAAAAGCTTGACAAACTTTCGTGGTTTTTGATTTTGCTTTTTTTTTTTTTTTTTTTTTACTAAGAATTGAACCTAGGGATGCTTTACCATTGAGCCATATACCCCCAATCCTTTTTTTATTTTAATTTTTTATTTTGAGATAGGGTCTTGCAAAGTTGCTGAGATTCTCTCTAAGTTGCTAGGGCTGGGCTTGGACTTCTGATCTCCTGCCTTGGCCTCCCAGGTTGCTAGATTTCAGGTGTGTGCCACCATGCCCAGGTAAAGCTTGATGACTTTTTGTATGACAATACACCAATTTTATCATCACCTAGTTTAAGTTAAGGACAATTGGGGCACTCCAGAAGATTCCCTGTACTCTTTTCCTGCAGTACACATCCCCCATAGATAATTACTCTTCAGTGATTCTGTCACCATAGATTGTTTTTGCCAATATGAATTCCATATGAATGGAATCGGGTGGTTTGCTCCATTTTGTGTTTGGCTTCTTTGGTGCATCATTATTATGGTGTAGTATTCCACTGTATGAATATGCCAAACATATTTACCCATTCTACTATTGTCAGACACTTAATTTGTGTCTATTTGGGGGCTCCTATGGACCACTTTGTATATGTGTTTTGTTAGACACAACAGACTTTTTTTGCATATATATATATATATATAGTGTATATGCAGAAGTGGAATTTTTTGATCATACTGTAGGCACATGTTTAGCTTTAGTAGACAATATTTAACAGTTTTACGAGGTGTTTATAATACTTGACGGTCCCATCAGCCAAATGTGAGAATTCCTTTTGGGGGTGTGTAGGGTGCTAGGGTTGGAATTCAAGATCTATACCCTCAGCCCAAAATGTTAGAATTCTAGTTGTTCTACATCCTCACCGACACTTATTTTTGTGTCTTTTAAAATTAGCTGGATTCCAATTGTTTATTTTCTTTCCCCCCCCTGGTACTGGGAATCAAACCCAGGGATGCTTTACCATTGAAGAAGTATATCCTCCCCAGCCCTTTTTATTTTGAGATAGTGTCTTGATAATTTTCCCAAGATGACCTTGATCTTGGAATCTTCTTTCATCAGCTTCTTGAGTTGCTGGGATTACAGGCATGTGCCATCATGCCCAACTGGCTTCTATTTTTTTTAAAATTTTTTTTAGTTATAATTGGACACAATATCTTTATTTTATTTATCTATTTTTATGTGGTGCGAGGATCAAACCCAGGGCCTTGCACATGCTAGGCGAGTGCTCTACCGCTGAGCCACAACCTCAGCTTCCTGGCTTCTATTTTTAAAAGAAGATGGATTGTAGCTATTAGTGTGGCTTAAAGAGGAAAACCAGACCAAGTGGTAGAAATTGGAGAACAATTTCAGCTCAGCATAGGATGTCTCTCTTACCTCGAGATTGTTCATAAAATAGAATAGATTCTTGCTCCGCCACCTAGAGGCCTTAAGCAGACTGAAGGTCCATTTGTCACATCAGTTAAGAGAGTTTCCCTGTGTTAAAAGAAAACTTTAAAGTAAATTTAACAGACCTTATTTGAGTGGTTAAGGGTTCATGAATTGAGCAGCTTTCAGAACCAACAGAAGTTGGGAGAGTTCTACTGTAGCAGCGTGGTAGGCAGCACGCTCTTAAAGGCTGAAAGCAAAAATATGACATCTACAAACAAACAAGCAAACAAACATTTGGGCCAAGTGTATTGGTGTACCTGTGTAATCCCAGTGACTCAGGAGGCTGAGGCAGGAGGATCTCAAGTTCAAGGCCAACCTGGGCAACTTAGTGACATCCTGTCTCAAAAAATAAAAAGGGCTGAGGAGGATATAGCTCAGTGATAGAACACCAGTGGGCTAATCCCAGTACTGTGAAAAAAGAGAAAAAAAATACATTTGATTGGTTAGAGTGGAAAGAACCTAGTTTAGGGTTAGTTGGCAATTTCTGATTGGTAAAATTTCTAGTTTCATTTTACTGTTTACATAGGGTTTCAGTTTGCTTATGTAGGAATGTAAAGTGCTGGAGCTATTTCTGCCTAATGGCCTCTCAATTAAAAAAAATTAACATTTATCAGGTAGTTTGGTTTATAAAATTTTTGTGGGTCCTTCCAAATATAATACTACTTTAACTCAAAGATTGGACCTGCAAAATTATTGAGGATATAATGGAATAAATGTCTAAGTTAGCCTTTTTCCTCATTACATAGAAGTTATTGATGCCTAATCCTGTGTTCTTTTCATAATTTCCACCACTAATCATAAAAAGTATTGCTTTGTTCTATATAAACAATGCCAAGTATTTCCTCAGAAATGTTGGAGTGGCTTTGCCTATCTGATTTCCAGATTAGCACCTTGTGGAAAGATTAGGTTTTGGTTTCCTAAAGTGAGTTATGGGTTATTTCATACTCTGGGTTGTATAAATTCTCTCTCTTTCTCACACGCATGTGTTCACACACACACACAGTTTTACTTTTATTGTTATTTTGCTGTTGCATATATTAAAATTAGTATGGCCCTCTTCCCTACACTTGGCTTTTCCAAACAGTGTAAGAATATTTGATAAATATCTCTTCCAGATTTCCCCCATATTTAGAAGTATCCCTGACTACTTCTGATGCCTGTAATCAAATCTGCCATTGGTAGGTCCAGTCCCAACCAAGCCCTGGGCTGTTATAAAGCAGACAAGACATTAGCAGCTTCATTCTAGGAGTCAGTGGTACCTGGAAATGTCCATTATTTATATCTCCATGGAACACTGGGCTTTAGAGAGGATTTAGCTCCATGAATGTCTGATAACATCAGACTGCAGTTTATTTATTGAAACTTTTGGGAAAGAATCCTTGATCTGCCTACCTTTCTGCCTATGGTATTGTATTAAGCAGAACAATTGTTCCCCAATGATGCTGCCACACTAATCTTTAGAACCTGGAAAAAACATTAGCTTACACGGCAACAGGGGTTTAGAAGATGTGATTAAGTTGAGTATCTTGACAAGGGAGAGTATCCTGGATTATTCAGGTGTGCCCAATACTATCACTAGAGACTTATAAGGAAAAGATTGGCATGAATGTCAGAGAAAGAGGACTGAAGCAGAGGTCAGAGAGGAGAGAGAGTTAATGGCACTGCACTGTGGCTTTGAAGATGGAGGAAGGAGTCATGTGCCAAGGATTGTAGGTGGTCTCTAGAAGCTGGAAAAGGAAGGAAATGAATTTTCCCCTAGAGCCTTCAGAGGGACACAGCTCTGTTGATACCTTCATTTTAGTTTAGAACAGTAAGATAAGATATGGATGGTTTTTTTTTTTTTTTAAAGAGAGAGTGAGAGAGAGGGGGACAGAGAGAGAGAGAGAGAAGGAGAATTTTAACATTTATTTATTTTTTCTTAGTTCTCGGCGGACACAACATCTTTGTTTGTATCTGGTGCTGAGGATCGAACCCGGGCCGCACGCATGCTAGGCGAGCGCGCTACCGCTTGAGCCACATCCCCAGGCTCAGATATGGATGGTTTTAACCAGGTGAATTTATGGTAAATTGTTACCAGGGCAGTAGGAAACAGTTATATTCAAATAGTTATATTCAAAGTGAGTATTTTTTAACAGACAGAATATTATTGAAGCATTTCCCCTATATTCTGCTAATCTCTGTCTTTTAACTGGTTTACTTAAGACTATTGGCATTAAAATTAATTATCTGTATAGGGAATTATTTTATTTTCATTAGTGGTTCTGGGGATGGAACCAGATCTTATGCATGCCAGGCTAGTGCTATATTGCTGAGCTACACCTTTAGCATCTGATACATTAGGGCTTAAATCTGCCATTTTATTACTTGTTTTTTCCCTCCTCTGTTTTTCATTCTTCTCCTTTTTGTCTTCTGGGTATTACTTAAACATTTTTCATTATACTAATTTTCTTTAATTTATAATGTTTTTGAACATTTCGCCCTGCATAATTTTTTATTTTGTAGTTACTCTAAACATTCCAGCATAAATGCTTACTATGCTACTACTTTGAGTAAAGGTTGAAAGCTTACTTCACTTCAGCTCTCTTTAGATCTCTTGATCCTCCCCACTTTGAAAATATGCTTGTCTGAAGTATTTCCTCTACATACAGAGAGTTATTCTTTAACTCCTTAAGTTACCAGTCTTATTTTGTTATTCTTTTTGTTTGCCTTTTTTTTTTTAGAGAGGAGAGAGAGAGAGAGATAGAGAGAGAGAGAATTTTTAATACTTATTTTTTAGTTCTCGGCGGACACAACATCTTTGTTGATATGTGGTGCTGAGGATCGAACCCGGGCCGCACGCATGCCAGGCGAGCGTGCTACCGCTTGAGCCACATCCCCAGTCCCTGTTTGCTTTGCTTTTCTGCTTGAAATTTGACTTTAGTCATTCTTTAAGGGTGAGTTTCCTGGCAGCAGATCCTATGTTTTCCTTCATCTGAGAATATCTTCATTTTTATTTCCCTTGCTTTTCTGAAGGTTAGTGTCACCACACAAATGGGAAGATCTTTTCTATCACCACTTGAAGAGTATTTTGCTATTTCTTTCCATCTTGGTTTGAGATAAACTTTCATCCTCATATAAATGGGTGTTCAGAACTCTATAGGCAAAAGGTCCCATCCCTCCACCCCCTTTTTTCCCTAGTGCTGAGATGTTAGGCACGCTAGGCAAATATCCCTCTGATGACTTTTTAAGATTTTTTTTAATATTTAGTTTTCAGAAGCTTGATTATGATTTATCTTGGTCAGAGAAGGAGATGTGACTGTAGAAACAGAGGTCAGAGTGATGTGATTACTGATTTGATGATGGAAGGGGACCATGAGCCAAGGAATGCAGACAGCCTCTAGAAGGATCCTGGAAAGTATGGAAATAAATTCTTTTCTGAGCTTCTGGAATACAGCCGTGCTCCCACTTCCATTTTTGCTCATTGAGACTCATTTTGAACTTCTGTGCCTCCAGAACCAGAGATAATCAATCTGTATTATTTTAAGACACTAAATTTTTGGTAATTTGGCTTTGCAGCAACAGGAAACAAATATAAGGCTTAAAACCTCATTTCACATGTGTCTCCCTCTCTGGGCAAGGGAGTCACAGTTCCTGGGTTCATATTCAACTCTCTGCCACTTAATGTGCTGTGTGACCTTAGGCCAGGTGCTTCATTTCTCTTTGTCTCAATTTCCCCATCTATAAATTAAATATGAAATACTAATACAAAACAACCTACTAAAACATTTCGACTTATATATCTCAGGACTGATATGCAACATTTTAAAAATTGTTCTTTTTTAAAAAATAATAAGCTTTTTTAAAAGGTGGTTTTTGATTCACAACAAAATTGAGCAGTAAGTACTGAGATTTCATATATAGCTTTCCCTATTATTAACATCTCCCACCACATGGATGCATTTATTCCAATTGATGAACCTACAATGGCATCATAGTTACCCCAAGTCCATTGTTTATATAGAGTTTACTTTCGGTGATGTACATTCTATGGGGTTGAACAAATGTATAACAACATGTATCTACTGGTATAGTATCTTAAGAGTAGTTTCTGTGTATGGAAAATCTCCTGTGTTCTACTTAGTCATCCCTCCCCTCTATGCTTCCAACCTGACAACTGCTGATATTTTTACTGTCTCCATAATTTTGTCTTTTCCAGGATGTCACATAGTTGGAATCATACAACTTTAGCCTTTTCGGATTGGCTCCTTTCACTTAGTTATATGCATTTAAGTTTCCTCCATGTCTTTTCATGGCTCGATCATTTCTTTTTCATGCCAAATAATATTCCATTATTCTGGATGTACCACAATTTATTTATCCATTTATCTACAGAGGACATCTTGATTGCTTCCAAGTTTTGGTAATTAGGAGCCAAGATACTATAAACATCCATGTGCAGGTTCTTATGTGGACATAAGTTTTCAACTCCTTTGGGTAAATACCAAGGAGTACGATTGCTGGATCATATGGTAAGAATATGTTTAGTTTTGTAAGAAACTGCCAAACTGTGTTCCAAAGTGGCTGCATCATTTTGCATTCCCACTAGCAATGAATGAGATTTCTTGTTGCTCCACATCCTTGCCAGTATTTGCTGTTATTCCGGATTTTGGCCATTCTAGTAGATGTTAGTGGTATTTCACTGTTGTTTTAATTAGCATTTCCTCGATGACATATGATGTGTAGAACATTTTCATTGCTTATTTGCCGTCTATATATCTTTTTTGGTAAGGTGTTTGTTATGGTCTTTGGCCCATTTCTGCTGCCCTTCCCTTTTTTTTCCTGCAGTGCTAGCTATTAAACCCAGGACTTGCATGTGCTAGGCAGTACTCTACCATTGAGCTACATCCTCAGCTCAAAATATCTCATCATCGTTTATTTGTTTGTTTGTTTGTTTTATTTTGCTTGTGGTACTGGGGATTGACCCCAAGGTCAATGAATGCTTGTCACGCATTCTACCGCTGAACTATATCCCTACCCCTTTTTTTAAAACTTTAAAACAGGGTCTCATACATTGCCCAGGCTGGCCTTGAATTTACAATCTACCTACATCAGCCTCTTTGAATAGCCAGGGTTACAGGTATACACCACTGGGTCCATTTTAATATCAGGGTTTTTTTCTCCTCCTCCTCCTCCTCCTCCTCCTCTTCTTAATAAGATTACTAGATAAAGGATCAATTTTATTTTTTGTTTTCTTTTCTTGAGTTTTTTCTCTTTTTTTTAAAATCCCTTTGAGATGAATCTCCCCAAATGCTGAAGTTAACCTTGAACCTGCAGTCCTCCTGCCTCAGTCTTCTGAGTAGCTAGGATTATAGGCATATACCACCATGTACAACTTTTGATGAGTTTGAAGAGTTCTTTGGGTATTTTGGATAACTTCTTTATCAGATATGCCTCCTGCAAATATTTTCTCCCAGAATGGGGTTTGCCTTTTCATTCTCTTCACAGTGTCCTTTGCAGAGCAGGAAATTTTAATTATAAAATGAGCATCGTTATAATTTTTTTCATGAATCATGCCTTTGGATTAGTATCTAAAAAGTCATTGCCAAACCCAAGATCCTATAGATTTTCTCCTATATTATCTTCTGAGAGTTTTAAAGGTTTGTGTTTTTCACTCAGGTCTGTGATTCATTTGAGTTAATTTTTGTGAAGGTTGTAAAATCTGCATCTAGGGTTTTTTTTTTTTTTTTTAAACATGGATATCTAGTTGTTCCAGTACCATTTGTGGACAATTCATCTTAATTTTTATTTATTTATTTGCTACTACTTTATTCTATCCCCAGCCCTTTTTATTTTTTATTTTGAGATGTCTTACTAACTTGCTAAGGGTATTACTAACTTGCTGAGGCTAGCCTTGAACTTGCCATCCTACTGCCTTAGCCTGCAAAGTCATACAGGTGTGTGCTGTAGAGCCAGGCTCAAATCTTATTTTTTAAACTTGTTTTTCCTTCATTTCAGGGAAACAGCAGCATGTCCACCAAGAAAGAAATCCCACTTGATGCAAGTTCTTTCATATATTCAATTAATTTCCAAATTTTTAAGTTCCACTTCATAAATTCTCTGAAGTCATTCCTTCATTCAGGCCCCCGATTACCTCTCATCTGTAATCCTGCTATAAACACCTCCCTGTCTACTTGGCAAGAGTCCCAACTTCCTCTGGTTTATTCTTTCTACTCCTACCGGATGATCCTTCTGCAAAGCAAATCTGATCATCTCTAATTTCTACTTAAAACCCTCCGTAAACTACCAATTTTATTTAAGATAAAGATCCATTTCCCCTTTTCAGGCTTAAAAGGTTTTTCCTGATTGAGTCCCAGCTACCCTGCCCTCTCCTCACTGTCATTAAACTTTTTGTGTTATTAGAGTATGTCCTGATCTTTTCGAGTCTGAGACCTTTGCTTCCTGCTCCTCCTTGCTCTGAAGCAAGGGGTTGTTTTCAGTCTGTGGTTGGTTGGCCTGTTGCTGTTGGGCCTGTGGTGAGTCAGTACTTCATGGTGGGAGCATGTGACAGAGAAGGTTGCTCACCTCACAGCAATGCAGAAGCAAGAGAGAAAAAAGGCATGGCCCCAGTGTCCTCTTCAAAGGAACACCTCCAGTGACCTAACTCCCTCCCACTAGGCCTCACCTCTTAAAAGTCCCACCACTTCCTAATGTACCACAGTCCAACAAGGAAGCCTTTAACACATGATCCTTTGGAAGAACACTCATCTAGACAACGGCAATTACAAACAAATTAAAATGAAGGAGAGAAGTGTAACAGACACCTGTGTACTCAGCACTGAGATAAAATACCTGTCAGTTATTTGACATATTTGCTTCAGGCTTTTCTTTTTTTAATTTTATTTTTTATTTGTTCTAATTAGTTATACATGACAGTAGAATGCATTTTGGCACATCATACATAAATGGAATATAACTGCTCATTCTTCTGGTTGCATATGATGTAGAGTTACACTGTTCATGTATATATGCACAGAGGGTAATAATGTCCAATTTATTATACTGTCATTCCTAC